CTGAAGTCAGCAGTATCATGATTTGGAAATATCAAATCCCATGCCCAGATCAAATTTATACTCACATTTCCTCAAGGAACTGGAGGGTTTTATTTTTTGTGCCCTCCTTCAGCTTTTTTTGCTGCGCTGTATCCTCCAGGACGTCGCTTGCAGCACAATTATTTGAAGATACAACTATTGCAAAATTTTATAACAACAAAACTAAATTATACAGAGCAAAAACGATAAAGGTCGGGTCATGTTGGTCGATCCGCGTAAGTTGATACAGCCTTTAGCATCTACAGTGAAGAAAAATATGAAGGGTGCTCGAAGCAAAGACGAGGCTCTTTCAACAAACGCTGTCTAGTTTCGGCTAGGGTATACCTAAGACACTGAAAATTCAGTCGTTTACAACTGACGTTGCAGTTTTTTCGTCAATTGTCGCCAAAGGTTATCCAACGGGTAATCCACAGTTTGCATCACCTCAAACGATGGGAAACTGTTTTGGCCGAATAAAATAGTCCAGTTTTGTGCACCGATGACGCAAAAGGGCTAAAATAGGTATCGAAATATCACCATAGAAATATGGATATTACGGTGATAAGTCCAAGTATTTATCGAAAATGGAATAATGAGTGCTGGTCGAAAAACAAAGAGCACCAGCGGAAAAACAAACGGCATCAATGCTAGCGCCAACCTTCAGCCAAGCTTTTTTTGATACAGATAAACAAATTGCATTCATGTACAGGGTATCGTCTACGAATTGGGTTCCAGAAAATGAGCGTGTTACTTGGTTCTGATTCTTTATTCAGAAAACTGTCTTGGTATTTTTCTGAATTCCTCCTTATTTTCCGCCAATGTAATGACCGCATTGTGTTTTCTACTTTCGTTGCATCAGAACAGCTGTTCACTCACAACGTGTTAGAGTGTGATCAAATGATGTTTTCGTGATGTGTGACCCTGACGTCCCACTCATTACTCGTCAAAAGGGAGAAAATCGTTTCGCACGCCAAAGAAGTCACACCAATTTACAGAAGGATTTTTCTCGGATATTTCGTTTTACATTCGCTATATCGGTTGATCCGCGTAAGCTGACACAGCCTTTGGCATCTACAGTGAAGAAAAATGCGAAGGATGCTCGAAGAAAGAGCGAGGCTTTTTCAACAAACCCAGTCTATTTTCGGCTAGAGTATACTTTAGACACTGAAAACTCACTGTCGTTTGCAACTGACGTTGCAGTTTTTTCGTCAAACGTCGCCAAAGTTTATCCAACGGGATGTAATCCGCAGGTTGCTTCACTTCGAAACGATGGAAAAGTGTTATGGATTGTGTGGAAAGAACAGGTTTTTGTAAACTGCACGAATGATCGAATCGAGGATCTATGGCGATTATGCGAAGGTGGAGGGATTCTTATCAAATGCTGGGATAAACGCGAGAAATGTGCCATACAAACAAGATTCGATCGCCCAAGATCTTTAATTCAGAACCAGACTCCATGTGACTCACAAGATGTCCTTAACATCACTATTTCGGAAATCATTGAAAGAATTCGCTCACATGCCAAGGATCAAGATGTTTGTAGAACGAATGACGACATGAGCATCCCAAACACATCGTTAAGCAAGGAAATGCAGTCAGCTACAAATCGTGGTAAGTGCTCCAATTCGAATATTGTTTTCAAATAAAACATAGTTGCAGGATTAGCACTGCATTAAACAGTATTACACTTTAAAATCACGTCTGATTTCTATCCCTAGAAAACTACGTGATTGTGAAAACAGTTTTGAATCGTTGAAAACGAACGTTTGCATGCATGAATTCCCTCTTAAATCATTCATTGATGAAATTCTCAATCTTGGATTCTCTCAAATAATTTGGCCAAAGCCCTATATAGGTATTCCAATTTCTGCATGTACTATTTTGAGATGCAGCGAAATATCCCTGCAATATTGCCATATGGACCTTACTTTTAAATCTAGCATATAACTCTAAAAAGTTGACATTTTTAAATAGACGTCGCTACTTTCAATGGGGAATCACCAATCTCGGACCTGCAAGTAGATGCAGAGATAAGCATTTGAGAATATATATGATCCTGATCTTTGGACATGATATATCTTGCTACCAGCGGAGGGGATTAAACAGTTCCATATTCACTTAGATAGAGCCATGTCAAGAATGCACTTTGTATACAAGCAAGAAAACAACATTTAAGTCCCGTTTTTCAATATCTTCATCGTACGAAAACTAGACAGAAAAAAAGAAGACCACCATGTACTAAAATCGAAAACGACCAGTCCGATGCAGAACAACAATAAGACTCATCCCGTGTGTAACCTAAGCAGTTGTGTGCGCATTTTTTCTGGCTGGTTGACCGATTACGATATACAAGAACTCTGAAACCAAGGTCGAGCTGGTCTGTTTCGGCTATTTCGCACAACTGGATACCCCAAAACCTTCAGTAACATAGAGGTAGGAAAACGATTCAGAATTCATCATATAAACAAAGCAAATCCTCTACTACTCTCATATAACTAATAGTCAGGTTGTGAAAATTTAAACCGAGTGTTAACCCTAGAGGCAATTGCTGAGATGAGGAAGGACCGACACTTACAACAAGCTCGCATAGATGGGTTGTGTTATTTCATGCATATTCAAAATGAGAAACGGTTCGATCCGCTGCCCGGTGGCCGAATGGGTCGTGTGCTTGCGTTCTACCTGTGAGGTCCCGGGTTCAATCCCCAGTTTGGTCAATGGATTCGCATTGCTGCTGAGACCCAATCAGGTCGAAACAGCTGTCCAGCATGTCCCACTTTTTTAGCTCACGCCTCATTTACACGACGATTCATCACATAAATTCAGTACTCGTCGACACAAACATACTTGATCTCCGACGCGCGAATCTAAGGTCAAAAATCTGAATTCAGTGTGAAAAGGCCTGTCACAAGATCAAAATGAACGATGAAAAAGTAGTGGCGAGGCACAAATGAATAGGAGAATGACTTATAGTTCGTTCACCACGTCAAAATCGATAATCATTACCTAACAACTGCGTATATATATATATATATATATTACGAAGGAGAAGGCGAGCACTGAGTGATAGTATTTATTGTGGCTTTTCGATCCAGAGTGTTATCTTTGTCAAACGATGGTACGTGTGAATTGAATCGGGTCTGCTTGTGCCTCGCGTTGTGGTTTGTGTCGCGTATGTTTGTCCATCAATCCCTCTCGTTCCTCGTTCAATGCTCGCCTTCTACTTCCTAAAAAATGAAACCCAGGCTGCAGATATTCTCACTTGTGATATATATATATACAACTGTAATACTGGAATGGTTGAACGCCACTGGAAGCTGAGGGATTGTCCTTCATTTGAAATGCATGCACAGCTGTACATGAGTTTGCAAATATCTCATGAGATTTAATAATTTTATATCTTACATTTGCAAGTAACATTTTTAGACTGATGTTTCTAACGAAGAAAGATTTAAAAACGTAAAATTACACTGTGATCAAAAATATAATCTTTAATATGAGCCCTTTGCGCGTCATCCATTTCTGTTTTTGTTCAAGCTCAAATGTTGGCATATTGGGTGTATTTGTGTAGCGTTTTTTCTTAGAGGTAGCACAATTCCTATCTAATCGATTAGCCAGCCAAGGAACACAAATCTCGTACACTTGGCTCATTATGTATGCCATTTTTTCAATTATCTTCTAGCGCGTTACCCCAGGTTACGTCCAGATAACCGGTCCTTGAAACTGTTTTGGGCTTTGATCTACACTGATGGCGCGCATACTTTTGACTACTCAGTGAAGGCTTCAACCAGACAGTCAATCACGTAGATGAATAAGACAAAGTGAACTTTTGCTGTTCCACCCTGGATCTTATATACTACTGTGATAAAATTCAGTTTTGAAACATTTCAACATTTCAACTATTGTGCTGGATCATTATTCTCATTATCCTCCCAAGTAGTCCTTCACAGTAGATTTCGAAGTTTCTTGTGGAATATATTTGCTTTCAATCACTTAGAAATCTGGTATTACTGTTCCGTATATTTTTTATATGGCAGATCTGATTACTTTTAGGTTATCCATCTGCGAGCAAATGTAAGCTATTACTTGGGCTCCTGCGAAATGACTGGTGATAATTATTACAGTTATGTAAAACGGTACGGCCAATAAAACTCACGCCGGTTGAACAGAATTGTCTCAAAAAGAAAAGAAATGAGAAGAAAAAGAGTTTGGAGGTTTGCTTGTGGTCTTTTACGGGAACCCCAAAGTGCACGTCATCGGAACACTCATATAAATTCATTTCTTGGTTGCTATCCAGTGTGTTTATGACAAATATTTACCATTTTCTGCAATGTTATCCCTTTGCGATACGTGGGTTTATGGGAGTATTATATGTTGATTTGATTACCTGATGAATTTGTCGATTAAATGAAGTGTTTACTGAAAAACTAGGAAGGAATGGACAACTGTTTTACCCTCATTGGGTTACATTTACTTGATCTTGCTGATTGATCCTCACCTCTTTTTTAATCGTTTTGCATTTGGTTATTATCAATTTTTCCCTTTTCTTATACTCGCAATTTCACTAGTTATGAGAACCACAGACGCAGTAAAAGTGTCATGAATACAGGATGGAAATTCAGGACTATGACTTCTCTGTTCAAAGTGGACATTGTTTTCCTTGTTACATTGTAATAATTCACTTTTGTGCTATCCCGTCTTATGGTCTAGACGTTGACCAATTACAAGCAGCACCGAAACAAATTTCCCACAGCACTTCATTGCTTGATCACAATCCAGCTTGGTTCAGTCGTCAACCCCCTCAAATCAACAAAAGGTTCAGTATTATCAACAGCAGTAATAACGACAGCGATCATAACACATTCACGGGGACTTTAACAACGCCTGGAACGACGGGAACCACTGGCGACCAAACTGTTGAACGCTGGGGTTGCGTGTGTCTAGTTTTAAACACAGGCCACTTGTTTCGTTTCTCACCACCTGTGATGATCTCGACCGCTGCACCTCGTGAGTTTGTCGCTGGTTTGACAACCAAATTGTCTACCGAATCACTCCCTCGATATTCTGTACGGTACAGTGATACGGTTGAGTTTGAAGAACTTCTGGTTGGTTTGGAACTGGACGGACCTCTTTTGACCGAGGACCAAAGGGAACTTTTTAAACCCTTGGTCATCCATGTAGGCGGTATTGCAGGGCTTCCGTTGGGATTCTTTTCATCGTGGGATCAAATGAACCAAACATGCAAACCGCTCACTCTGCAGTGGCAGTTGGCCGATTTGAAAAGTTATCACTCTCGGTGCTATAGACAGAACGACTCAATCGACATGGATGAAGTGCAGGTATGTAGTTTGGTTTGTTTCCTCAGTTATATTTCAGTGTCAGAATAAACTCTATCTGATTAGCTCACCACCCATTCAAACTATTCCCTGTATTTTAACTAAGCGTATAAAATGATAAGGGAACGATAGAAATTTAGCTGGTTAATTTCCAATAAAAAGGATAGACTTATCAATAGGCTGGGTACAAGTCCTGGAAAATACGTTGCGAGTGACAGGCAAGATGCAGAACTATAGAGGACTTGTACGCATTTCTGCGTACTTAAACGTGTTTGTACTCAAAGCGAGTAGGGGAGATTGAAATACAACTAGATATTGCGGAGTTAGGAGGGTGACAGGAATCTGAAAGCATTCTACGTTCCGATGCTCACTAGACCATGCGTCGGGTCATTCTACCAGTGTGTTAGTCACGACAACTGCAAATGCCATGCGACCAGTTCGGTTGTTCGAGTGATTTTCGAGACCTATTCCGTTGGTCGTTTTGTAATAGGTCTAGCTCAACCACCCAGTATGCGAACTTTAGAGCCGATTTCAAAATGTGATTTTGCTCGATTGAATGGGTGATCACTTTTATATGACAGAACTACCTCAACTTGCATTCATCTCAGAAAAGGTCTCAGGTTTTTCTCTCGGTTAGCTATCATGAATTCTTTTTCGTTATAGCCATCACACGGTAACGTTTATTCTTGTAAACTCTCTTTCTTTTGGTTTTCCTTTTGGGATGTCGATTTTTTGTCGGTTCTAGAAGATGGTTTTCACCAATCCTCGTTTGTACGACAATAGAGAGGAACTTGAAGACTGAATTTAGTGCCTAATCCAGGCTACTCGAAGGATAACTTTGTTTCTCGTCAGTGAAAAACGAAGTTCACAGGTTGTGAACAAGTTAATCCAGTTCCCTCTTCCATGTGATTCCCATCAACGTGATTTGACTGCAGATGTGTGTTTTGCATATTTCTGTTCATCTCATTAGCATCTCTCATGATGGACCATAAACCTCTCCAATTAAAGTCCATTTGGGCTCCTTTGATCGACACAAATATGATAATTGAACCGTTCTCTTAGTTAAATCCGGTATTGTTTTAAAAGACGGATTAGAAATATGTACTAAGCTTATTTATGATCATAGAAACTTCTTGTAATCATTGTTAGGCTGTTTAATCATTGTTAGGCGACATCAACAACACCTGCCCGCAGCGTCCACTAGGATGAAGGGTTGCTAATGAGCGCCAGTGAGCGAAAGTATTAAAAGATGAGGTCATCATATTAAATTTTTTTCTGTTCACTGAAAGTCGATGGGGATTAAATTATGACCAGCTGTTGCTATGAGGTCGACTATGAGAAAGCAAATGACACGGTGGAGTGGTCTCCATCAAAGCTTACTCCTTCCGAAGGACGGTTGTCCCTTCCTCGGGAACACAAGCCTGATCCTGAATCATTTTGTCACTGAAACTCCTCAGAAGGGAACAACTTCTCTGAAAGAACACGGTCATCGGATTACTTACCTAGACGCCGACAGAAAACGTCTCTCAGATTTGTGATAGCCATTCAAGTTTATGATCGTGCAGGCTTTCGCAAGCATTGCAGGCCATCCAATTGTTTCACAGGTTGTTGGAATTGTTTGATACAGTGTCAGTCGGTGATAAGGACTCTGCTGCTATGTGTTCCTTTGTTTGAGATCGCCTTTGCCATTTCTATTGCACGTGCACCATTCGCTTCCAATCTCATAGATGGTCAAGTTGATAGATTCATTTTGCAAACTTAATGCAACCGCCTGCATGTCAGCCAGGAATCCTCTTGCAGCGGTCGATGATTAGGTCATTTACCATAGAGTGAACGTAGTTGATTTGCACTAACTGGAGTTTCTGTGACGACGAATGCATCCCAATGTGGCTTGGGGAGAATGCCAATAAATCCGGTTGTCGAAAAAGAGACCAGTCTGACAATCGATTGGGTGCAATCGAATTCAGGTTACAGGAAGGTGAAGGCACACCGACCTTAGAATATGACAAGAAAGAAGATATGGCTGAGCAGCAGAGTATATCGGTGAAAAGTACTGTAAAGGGAAAAACGTACGCTAGAATCATGACTCAAATACGAACAATAACTACCCCCTCTCATTCTATTGGTTTCGTTACGTTTTTCTTCAGTTACCGTCGATATGAATTTCATCACTATCCCAGGCATACACCGTTCATTCTCTTGATTGGAATTTTTGATATCAGAAAGAATTGTTTGCCATCGATAAATAATAGATAAATAAATAAATAAATAATAGATAAATAGATAGATAGATAAATAGATAGATAGATAGATAAATAGATAGATAAATAATAGATAATTATCTGTGCTTCAGACTATGAAAACAAAAATTAAATCAAAATATGAAAGTGTGCTGGTTGATAAGCTGTTCTTCTCTGTAGACAAAAATGACTGTAATTTCTGAAATCAAAGAAATTTTTATCCACAATTCTCCAAACTTTCGTGGTTAACACGAATTCTAAAGACAAACTGACGTTGGCATACTTGTCAAAGACCACTGGTTGGTTGGAGATATTGGCTGATCTTTGTTACGAGTAGATAGATAGACCACCGTGCTACTATCAGAATAGAACAATGAGAAAAGGAAAATTTGGGGGGAGACTGACAGCCTACGTCAATTCGACCTGGAGTGGCAAATTTACATGCTTATTTGGTAAGCTACAAACTGCATGGATCGATCATCTGTAAAATGTTTTCAGAATTTGTTAGATTTAGAAGTGCAGCATTAAAAAAGTACTTTGTCCTTTTTGTCCTCTGTTCAAAATTTTTTTATGACCTGTTTGTACCCATTTCTAATCATCATCATAGAGGAGCGTTTGCATGTAATAGCATGTGGGTGATTTCAATCATACTCACGCCTATGCAACGGAGCAACTCGGAAAATTTTAAATAGCAGTTATTTCTAATTTTGTGGACCGAGGGGCGTGTTTCGCACACACGCACACATGGTTAATACTAAATAGATTTCTCCATTCGCTTCATTTGTCTATCTTTTTCGATGTTTTACGTACGCGACCGATGAGGGTATCCGAAAGGAATTCCTCTCGCAGTATTTGCCTTCTGACTTGCCTGTTCAAATTCATTACGGGATCCAAGTGTTTCAGTGTGTATTCTGTTTGAGGAGGAAGAGGACTGTACCTGTTAAACAGACCCTGCGAACACTCAAGAGTTGGTCGGTGCAAATCTTCGATCGTTTGAAAAACCAGACACCAAAGTGTTCCCTAGCAGTTTCGATTGGATGATTTCTCACCAAAGCTAGGTAGCAGCAGGAATTGCCGCTTGTGACACTCAGTTGGTGGGCTCCAGGAAACAAATCTATCTAGGCAGTTTACTTGCATCCGCAAGCTGTGGAATTTGTGATCCTCAGTAAACGGAGTGACATGAAGTAAGAGAGTTAATCAGGTTGTTCTACTGGTTGTACACTTGCTTTCTTGAAAAGCGAGCGGCATCTCCGAATGGATTCAAGTGTATCATGCAGCTTAACAAGTGTTAAGGATCATAACATTCGAAGGGAGTAATGATCATGTTTGTACGATTAGCCTTGTGCCCGAATTCACAATAAAATAAAACATAGACTATTTGTTTTTTTAAATCACAAGGTGTGCAATAGATACAGTTTTATATTGACTATCTAGGATAGAAGAAGCATACCACTAACCGCACGTTAGTTATAAAACGTTAATTTTGTTGCTATTGAATCAATAAACAATTTGATGCGATCGAGAAACACCAGATACCGAGGAGGTCATATTATCCACAATGAGAACAAAGACCTGCGAAGACAGTTCGTTTGTACTTTTCGCCACCTCAGGTCAACTGATGTCGAGGGAAGTTTCAGACCGACATCTGTCTATTGTTTTATTTCATCACTTTTATTGAAAAAGTCTGAATGTTACTAGTCGAAAGATGTGGTAAATATTGTGCTATAGGAAAATTTGGTCTTCACATACAACTCATTCATAAAGGGAAAATGGAGACAGGTGTTCACGGATCGCCCAGAGGGAAAGGAAGAGCGAAATCCTCCGGACCGCTTGATCCGTGTATGTTCAAATGAACGGTGTGAATACGTCACGCATTAAACCTAATGACAAGCGAGACATTCGTAATATCTTGAGAGGTCAAAGTGAATGACACTGTCAGTTTACCCGCTGATTGTTGGCCGCCATAATACCAGGAAACTGTCTCCTTTAAAAAGGATGTAATGAACCACGTTTGATGGAAAACGATATTTGCCATCACAGCTTTCAGTAAAGAAGCCGTGAAAATAAGGTTGTTTCTGGAATCAGTTCTCTACATGTATACAATTACTGTGGCCGTTTACACATGCAGTAAAATAACAAACGGATTCAAGACCAACGTTGTATACCTTAATCTCTCTACGATGCCACACCGGAATATATCCATCTGCGTGATTTTAACTAACTGTCTGCCCTTTATGCCGACGTAGATGGCTTCAAATCCACGGTTAAATTTATAAATATTATTTGACTTGACGAGGGGCGGAGGATTGCAATCATTCTTTTATGGATGATGTTGGTATCCCGAATATTGAAAAAAACAATCAGAGGTTCGGCCAAAAAGTAAGTACGACTGACCAATTCGGTCACACGCTTCCTATTTATTCCGTAAATGTTGAATACTTCGTCTTCTTCACTCACAATATTATTGTCATCATTATTTTCACGTTTGTCTATCCTGAATCAGGTTTTAAATATGTTACTCAGTGGCTTACTTGCAGTTTGATCCTTAAATAAAAACAGCTAGTAAACGCACATGGTTTGAACTAACCGAGTGTATATTTAAAATATCTGTTTGCGCCTTAGGTCATTCTGATGGGCTTGCTTCCGGTTGAGAAAATTCGAGAACTCTTGCAATCCCGACCGTTAATAATTGACTTGTACGATCGGGTTCCGGATTCAAAATCCACAGCGGAGTCACCAAAGGATGCATTTTCTGTTGGCGGTACTTATGGTACACAACCGGGTGATGATAAATTTGGTTACGTGGAAGCAAATATGGAAAATATTCATGAATCGGACGAACCCAGCACAGCAGAGAATAAGTTTACTGTAGATCAATATCCGACTGGGCGTGTTGTCGTGCATCTGAGGGAGATGCTAGTACTGGAGCAGAATGTCATGGACTGCACCTACAGCGTAACTCCGCTGAGTGAGACAACACTTGATTTACAAACGGCCATGCGTACCACTTCCGAAAATCCGAGAAAAGTGAAACGACAATATGTGGGATATTTGGATGCAGGATGTAGTATGAGTGTGCGGATTGAATTGAGTGGAAATCTGAATCAGTTAAAAACTCAAGAAGAATCCCCTTCGCTCGGACTAAAACGTTTTGTGTTTGTTGTACGAATGTGTGACACAGATCCGGGTATTCAACGTAAGTTCCCGATTTGGTAAAGACTGAATTATAACGATATTCTCAGAAGTTTGGGTTTTTGAAAAAATAAATAGTTTAATGGAAGTTGGTTTTCGCACTGTGAACAATAAAGCGCTTAAGTAATCTGCATATGGCTACCGCACAAAATATCTTGCTCGTGCACGTAATGCCATGTGCACGCTTTGTATGATGTTCTGTGTTTTATTCATTTGAGCTGACTATACTTCGGACTTCATCTTCACGCACAATCCTCAGATCATCGATTCAACCATACACTCGAAAGCACTTGACTTGAGTCTGGAGTTCAAATCCGGGACGGGACGGTGAATATATACTACTGATGAGCTCAAATAAGAGCGAAACTCGAGTCTAGTGCTTCCGAGTGTATGGCTACGTGTCGGAAACTCGAATCCAGGATCCTACTACTGTAAGCCACTTGGGCGCCAGATTTGTCTTCGAGATACGTTCTTCGTACATCAGGAGACGATAAACCTCATTCAGTAAGCCAGCGCGGGGTATTGTACTCAGTAACAGAGCGGAGTCCTCTCTTATCAGTTGGATCTCCGTCAACAGTCGTTTATGTATAGCGCCTCTCCAGGGTTCGATCAGCGTCCTGAAGGAAAGCAACTCCCAAAGGTGTTTGTTCATCGTATCGGCATGTGCACCGAATAATTGCAGTTCTGATACCAAAAAGGATGCCTTCTACGATGAACTCACCGAGCTCATTCGGATGAGTCGAAGCGCCGACATAGTTATACTTTTCAAGATGGGCGGTGATAACCTCGTAAGCTCTATTACTACCTTACTGCGCAACATTTGGACGCAAGAGCGCATCCCTTCATCTTGGGATGAATTACTGATCGTTCCTGTTTTCAAGAAAGGATCTCGCAACGATTGCGATTGGATCATTTTGATCCCGATCATCACCGAATTGCTAGCCTAGATTATAATTCGATGTCTGACTCCATTAAGAGAGATCAACATCCGTGAACAGCAAGCCGGATTCCGGCCTGGCCGTGTATGTATTGATCAAATTTTTACATTACGCCAGGTCCTTGAGCTACGTCACGCCCACCACCGACCAACGATAGCAGTGTTCGTTGACCTGGAAGGCGCATTCCATTCAGTTGATTGCGAAGTTCTGATGGGTTCACTTCGAAAAGGAATGTCCCAGAAGAACGTTAACTTACTGAGGTTACTGTACTCGTATACCTCTGGGTATAAAGGTCAAGGATGACACCATTCTTGTTGGATTTCTTCGTAGACAAAATACTGGAGAACGCAATAAATGGTCTCCAAAACCTAGGTATTGAATGGGCAGGTGGAGAAAAGCTGTGCAATGTAGAATACGCCGATCACGTCTGTCTGTTTGAATGTATGGAAGACGCGCAAAGCACACTTGATAGATTAACAAGTGCCGCTGCCACATTCGGTATGTGCTTTGCACCTTCAAAGTGCAGTGATGCTGCAAGACTGGGTTTCGCCTACTCCCAATCTATAGCCAAATGACCCGGAATTAGTTACGGTGGATTAATTTGCCTACTTAGGTAGTTGCCTGAACAATGACGGTAGCGTAGCAAAAGAGATAACTGCTCGTATTTCCAAGGCTCGGGCAGCATACGCAGGACTGAAACACCTTCGGCCTAGACTCGACGTTTCACGGAAGATGAAGGTCGTGTATATTGTGCTAGTGTCCGTTCAGTTCTGCTTTATGGTTGTGAGACTTTGAACTTGCTAGTAGAAGATATTCGTCGACTAGAGGTTTTCGATCATCTCATGTGGGATGTAGCGAACAGGTTAGTAATCTGAAGCAAGTCTTCGTGTGTTCGGGAGTTTATCATGGATAAACCTGCTAGCACACCGAATTCAGATTGGTAGGCTTCACTGGCTGGGGCACGTATTGAGTACGCCCAGCTGTCGTCTGAGACACCGCGCTTTATTCGCTGTAGCTAATCCTGGCTAGAGGAAACCCCGTGGAGGTCAACAGATTACGTGGAGAGTAGGCGTGAGGAATTGCACAGAACCGTTAGGTAGAATAGGTGTCTCGCGCCTTCCAGGTTGGAGTCCGAAAGACTCCATAACCGGTTGATTGGAGACAATGAAGGATATGGAAGCTAACCGACAACCGTGGCGTTCTTGTTGTCCTTTCTTATCGGGCCATAATGCCTGAAACTGTATGTATGCAGAGTTCGATTGTACAATCTATGCGAAACCATAGTGATTCACCTTCTCCCTCCGTCAAGGTAGGTTCAATCCCTGTACACCTTAAATTTCACCACTAATCTTGTATGCATTGCGAGTTTGGGAGCGATCAGTGAAGTTCGCTGTACGATGATGATGATGTGTTTCAAATGACCCAAGCAAGCTATAAGGCTTTCGATTGTGCAGTTTACGAAATTTCCATGTTTCACTTATCCACTACCGACATATCCATTGCTCAGTTTTCTGAACGAGTTTCACAAGTGCCATCTATGAGACAATGCACACAGATGTGGTGCCATTTGGTTCGAGTCATTATTAACAGACCCCGGAGATCAAAAAGTAAAACCTCAACATTGTGGCTCCAATTCTGTATGTTGGCACATATGATTTCAGTAGTTTCCCCCCACAAATTATGACTGTGCGAGGTCGCGTATTCAATATATAAGGGGAATTGAAAAATGCTAATAGAAGAACTGCTCAGTAATGCTGAGCTCAAAGGCAGAGCACTGATAATTGAGCGTATTTAGAAATCACGTCTCGTGGTAGGTGAAGATCACAAAGGTTCATATTCGTTCCCTTTCTACCCGATTTGATTCAAGGATAAAGAGATCAATGGGATCTCACGCGGATTTTAATATGCAGTTTTGTTTTAACATTCTATGTCGTCTGATAGCCCTAGGAGGAAAATTAAATAGATCACATTAAACCTTGCGAAGAACGTTTGTGGACTGATAATTCATTATCTAATTGAATCAGACTTAAGTTCGTGGCAAACTGGAACGAGCTGACTTCCGAAAAAAGGAAAGTTGCATTCTGCATCACTTGTACTGCTAATACAAAGTTCAAGGCGTTGAAACGAGTCAGAATAGCCTATTCACAGATAAATTTTTGGATTAATGACTTCATTGGGTAAGCAAGGCTGGTTTCATCTTAGCAACTGGATAAAATTTCTGTAACTTATCATACGGTGTTGCCAGGGTTATCCGGAAGGCACGAATCATATTGACTCTTCGTGAAGAATAATAGAAAGTACAATGCATTTTTTGGTGAAGGCCACACTGTAGCAATTTGGCATAGTAAGCAGAGAAAGGCACTGCAAGACACCGTTTATCCCTAAAGAGAAACGTTTATTTGAATGGACCATATGGGTTCCTGGGGGTATTCATGGACCCACGTTAAGTGATGCACCTGAAAACAATTTAACCTCACTGATTCAAAAACAATTTTTCGGTGTCTGACTTTCGACTAGATTAGGGTTTGCTAAAGAAAGAAATATCTGACATGCAACTGGAAATCAAAATTTATTTATGTAAATCAGTTTCAACGGTACAATTTATATGTACATATATTACTTCACTGATCTTTTTCAGTATTGATCAGTAATAGTAACTAGCTGAAATTCAAAAGCATAAAGAGAAAAAGAAATTGAGTTAATAAGCTTTCTATGTTTGATTTTCAGAACAGTCTACCCAGTTCCTAGAAGACCTTCACAAATTTCTGGTGGATGCAACGGGCGATAGCCTACAATTACCTTTGGATCATGGCGTGGCTGAGTGCTCTGGTGTCTTAGTAACCGAGAGATGCGAAAATCAATCAAATACAAATGATGTATCTATATCACGACAATCAGGCAGTAGCAATGCGAAACCTTCTGATAATGACCTTTTGACAGGATTCCATTTAAACGACCGGGAGTTTGACTTCATCATTCTGGAAGCTCCAGATTCTCAGCTTGCAAGAAAACTCGAAGGGCTGATAGAAGAACACATGAAACATGGGAAAGATGTTTTCGGCCAGTATATTCGGATTTTATACAACAGCGAACTGAGCTTTACCGAACATTTATATTGGCATTTGGACTGGGCCTTGTCACCCATTCAACTTATGGTCCCAATGAACGAACTCATCCGACAACCGTTGTTTCACGTCCGTGATTTGGTCCCTCGACTTGCGTACTGTGCCATTGAACGATTGCAGACGATTCGAAACACTTGTCAGACACTGGTTGATGTAGCCCAGGCTGATTTATTTCCCACTATGGCCATGCTTGAAGCAATCAGAGGTGAATTTGCCATCCCTACAGCACTGGTCTCAAATGCTTGCTCCCGTGGGAGTACAGCAAGTCGTAGAGTACCGATAAAACAAAGCACCGACTCTGCACCAACTGATCGTGTTGAGGTGACCCTACCAGCGGCACATAAGGAAACCACACTAAAGCGACCCTGGACTAACTACATCGGTCGACAACCGATATTTTCTCGAAACCGAACCTGTTTCAGCTCTATTACCAGATTGTTCCGTTCAACTACTGAAATGAGCAATGCGACATTTTCATATAGTATACAGAAGTTGAATGCGACCGAACTGGCAAAATCAGAACTTCAGACTACATTACTCAGTCCGCGCAAGCGGTACACTTATTCGCAATTTTATCTCCGCTCCGGAGAATTTGCTGCCGCAGTAGACCCATTGGACTGGCCGAGCACTTTGCGTCGAGTTGGGTCGGACACTCGAAACCGAAATTTGCGTTCACAAGAACGGAAACCGAAATGGGATGCTTATCCACCAAAAGTCGGGCACGCGCAAGAACGAGTTCATTTCAAAGCACGTATACAAAAGAAACTAAATCAAGGTCTGTTACCTACACCGGATCTACGCATTTGAATATACACTTTATTAATGCTTTTTGTGACTGACTAATAATAAGTGCCAGAGAAGTATTTATGCCTTGAATGAAAAAGGGCACTTACCAGCAGAAAAATAGCACGGTATTTTTTGTTTCAAATACTACCTAATGTATCTAGCATTTTAAGCTTGATTTGAGAAAATATCACTTTCATTTGCAAAAATGTTACTTTAAGTGAACAAAACATCACTTTGGATTGAGAAGAAAACACTGTGGTTGGATCCGCTTTCGTTCAGCTCACCTCGTTAGACGATTTATTACACGTTTTTTCTATCTCATGATCAACAACCTGTCTTCCCACGCTCTTTCTGTGTTGAAATGCGGCAGATCTCAGTCTTGCATCTTGTCAAGCTCGCTGACGGACGTCGATTCGGTGGGTCGGTGAAGCCGTGCGATTTGCGCGAGGTAGCTAAATTGGACCTTACTCGATAAGCGCGAAGGCGATGCACTGTTTCGTGTGTGCTATAGCTAAAACACAGCTAGTTGCTCGGATCTAGACGATAACTCAATCACCAAAGGTTACCGCAGTAACTACGACCAGGGAAGAGTTTTGTGCTTACGGTGTATTCCTAAAGAAGTACTTTTCCTTATATCGTCAATGTCCGAGCAACTGGGACCAGTTGCGCTTTAGCTGTAGCACACACGAAACGGTGCGTCACTTTTCGTGCGTATCGAGTCAGATCTAACTTAGCTGTCTAGCGCAGATCGCACGGCTTCACTAACCCAACGAATCGATGTCCGTCAGGCAGGTTGTCAAACAGGGGGCAGAAAAACATGCAATCAGATAGTCAACGGGGTGCACTAAATGGGAGAGGATCCAACCACAGCGTTCCTTTCACAATTCAAAGTGACGGTTTCGCAAGTGAAAGTGATAGTTTCTCAAATAAATCTTAAAATGGCAAAGACCAGTTTCCTTCAGTGCCACGGCTTCACAAAAAAACGAATCCTGTTAAGCTATAATTGTACATTTGAAAGTTATCGAATACCGCTCCATGCAATAAGATGGTGCATCCGGTACAGCCGTACTGTGAGGAAGCAGTAGACTCGCAGTGATACAATTTTCCTCATCAATATTGACGGGGTCTGCCAAAATCCAGTTCGATCAGAATGAATTAATTCCTCCACAAACGAACAAAAGTACTTTTACATGCGATAGAAATGTTTGTGGTAACCAACAAAGAACACTGGACAGCTGTTTTGTCTTGTTTGGGACTCGTCAACAGTGCGTACCTCTTTTGTCCCTGTCAGGACTCGAACCGCGAAAATTTGAGTTTGGACTTCAAACCCTTACCCTTGAGCTACACGGTCGACGTTCATAACGTTATGCGAATGGCTCAATCAATTTTAGGGTAGCAAGCTTGGATTAGCCCCTTCGATTGTTCAGAGGCACCAGGAGCTCTTGATGTTCTATCGCATGGAAATGCATGAAATTGTGGGGAATTAACAATTTCCCAAGGAGTGAAACCCACACCCAAGAACATCAAGAGTGCCTGGTGCCTCTAAACAATGGAATGGGCTAATCCAAGCTTGCTACTCTGAAATACTTGTGTTCGAGGTACCAATCGAAGATGAAACTTTGACCTTTCCTCCTCCCTCTGCCACCCCCCTACCCGGGGAACGGTATGCCTTCGAGTTTTGATTAAATGAGTTTCCTAGAGGGGAATGAACTAACCCGACGATAATTGACCTCGGATGTTCGTTCATTCTCCTCTTAGGCTCACTCGATCAACAGTCAAGGTTTAGGGGACCAATAGCCAAACCCCACTCCACCGAAGTTTTCATCTTCATTCGGTAACTCACTAAAAAGAGCTTTTGCTTGTTTGTGAAGAAATCAGTTCATTCTGACTAAACGCGATTTTGATAGACCCAGTTCAATCGATGATGTTGACAACTGAAGCTCCAATCACTTTGCAGGGTTCTATAGAATGGGATTGATTGGATTCATTTGAATTTGAAAAGGTATAGTCATCCGGGATAGTAAGTACCGGAATCCCTGATGTATCAGTAAATGGTAAATCGTGTGAGTTCGGTGTGTAATGGTGGGTTAGGGTCTACAAGAATCCTTTCCTCATGGCTGACACAAGAAGTTCTGCGATAATCTGAAAGTTGTACAACTCGTTCACTTACAGAAATTCAGCAACTGCGAATTATAATCGTAGAATCGTTATGCATGACTTTCATATCCGGTTTGCGTAGTATAGGGAAGAACAGGAGAACAAAGATGCGAAACACACCCCTCGGTCCACAAAATTAGAAATAACTGTTATTTAAAATTTAAAACGATAGACACCGCAGCTGTCAAACCCAATTACGGATGTGAACTGAAGAACGAAAATTATTATTTATCGTGACTGCATTTGACAAGGTATTGTTATTAATTACAGTTGGTTCTGTGTAAAAGGAAGAACATGACGAGCTGTATAAACACGAAACATTTAAATTATACTCCGATCGGGACCAGAAGAACTGGATTTGACGAAGACTATCTTCAAAGGAAATCAGGTCGAAGGAAAAACAGTGGGTTGGCCAAAAGCAACATCGAAAACATACGACAAATTACGTGCGAGAGAAACAAAAGGAAAAACGCAAATGTATGTGGGAAACAAGAAGGTTGATAGCGCAACTGCTTGGGGCTCTCCGGTATGGTTATCTAAGGATCTGAATGACATCCCTCTAACCTTAAATTTTTGAGTGCAACAAGCACTTATTTGACCGATTATCCAAATATACAGTTTGAAGATTCAATAGCGTAAGGGAGTAGAACAATAGGAAATACTGAAACATTTGGATCCCGTAATGAATTTGAACAGGCAAGTCAGAAGACAAACACTGTGAGAGGAATTCCTTTCGTAGACTCTCATCGGTCGCGTACGTAAAACATCGAAAAAGATAGACAAATGAAGCGAATGGAGAAATCTAGTTAGTATTAACCATGTGTGTGTGTGTTCGTATTGTGTACAGTGTGTGATGCACGTAACTGGTTACAGCCAGGGAAGGCCAAGGGTAAAGGTCATACGTTTTTCGTTGCACAGTTTGGGTGGTGTTGTCCCGGTGATAATGTCACCAAAATGCCATCTTGGGGGACGTGTGTTCGAACCCCACCACCATCGTCTGACTTTCCCCATGGTAGCCCTTTGATTGGCGCTTCCCCCTTCCTGAAAATTGTATCATTGTGTATTCAATAAAAGGAAGTAAAAATTTTAAAAAACGATCGATAATGCCTAAAATATCCTTAGTCGGTATTGGTCTCGATGACGGAACAAAACCGAGAACGCGTTCGTAAGGTCTATCCTATGGCCGCTTTCACCCAAGTGACGTGCAATGATTGAAGTCGGTCTGTGTGATTCAGTCAGATTGTGTGGTGTGGGCTGAGTCATAGAGTTTTCTGACTTGTGTGCTCAATAAGAAATAGTTGAGAAAAACGCACAAAATGTGAGTAATAACCGGGGCTGCAATCAGACGGGAACTGTCGCGCTTGTAAGCGAAAGTAACGGATCATTGGGAATGTTCATAAACAGCTGTAAGCGTTTCAGAATTGAGCTTTCGTTCAGCTGGTTTGAAGACGGCAGCTATCCAGACTATGAGACGAACAG